TTATTTTCTAACACTTTAATAGCTGCTACTTTAGCTCTTATTGTTCTTTTTCTTTCGCACTTATCTTTGTTTGGTACCCAAATACTTCTTTTTAATGACAAGTTTGATTCTACAGAAAGTAAATCATTTTCTGATTCTTCTATAGTAATGTGATATTATTCTGTATTTGTTGTACTGTTTTCTTCTTCTTTAATCTCTTGAACTTCTTCTATTTGACTTAGTCATTCTTCGATTTTCTTATTTTCTAGTAGTTAAATTCCTTCTACTTCTATTTTTAAGTTTGTTATATTACTAGCTATACTACTTGAATCTAATTAGTATATCATCTTTATGTCTGATTTGCTTTCTTGTAATCCTAATTTATCATTTGCTACTATTATGTAATTAACTTCTTAACCTAGTATACTCTTTACTCTATTGATTCCTTCTGTTATTATTGCTCTTTCTATAACTTTTCTTCATTCTCTAGCTACTGTTACTATATCACTATCTACTTCTAATATTTTTGCTATAATCTTGTCTATATGATCTTCTAGACCTATTACTGATTTGCTACCTTCTGTTATTATTTCTTTGCCATATTCTTTAGTCACTACTTCTACGAGTCTGCTTGCTTTTTTTTTGTTCTACATATCTATCTAATTTTGATCTGTAGTTATTAGCTCTGTCTATACTCTATACTTTGTTTATTGAATGCTCTCTTTAATTAGATTCTTTAAATACTATTTCTAGAAGTAACTTCATCTCTTTTTGAAATTTTTCATAGATTTATCCAGTTTGTCTGTAAACTGTCTAGTTCTAGTCTTGTATAATTTGTCTTTGCTTTCTGATATATGATATGTATTTTAGTAATATGTTTGTTTTTTTACCTGCTTTGCACATATTTGTGTTATATGATTAATTTGCATTTCAGGATGTTTTGAGATTCTCAGTTTTGTTCACAAAAAAGCTTTCTTTATAATAATTCTTTTCTAAACTTCTTCTAGATCACTTTTTAAATTTGAGTTTTCTATTCTTTTACTTCTCTATATATAATTTTGCTTTTTGTATCTCTTTTTTTTATATACCAAAAGGTATTAATTAGTGAGTTTAATAGTTTTTCTATATTGTAACCTTTAGCTCGATTTTGTAATCAGATAATCTATAGAGAGAGTTTGTTTAATTATTATTATGTTATTATAAAACTAAATATTTATATGATAGATTATTTAAATAAACAATAATTAAAGTCAGTGTTGTTACTGAAAAACTACTAGAAGGTTACCGGAAGTTAAATCATTAGTGTTACTAGAACTTTAAGTTCTAGTAAAACTATTAATTTTCTTCTAGTAGTATTCCAGTAACCTTTCAGTAGTCTTCCAGTGACAACACTAATTAAAGTTATATATATAGTTTAATATAATTTATTATATAATTACAAACTTTAAAAAATACTATATATAGATCTAGCGATCTTAGTGTAGTAGTTAGGTTATCAGACTGCTATGCAAGAGGTCTAGAGTTCAAATCCCACTGTCGACAAATTTGAATAATTACTTGGACCTTTGTACTTAACTTATAGTAAACCCTGTTCGTTTCTGAGGTTGTAATACTGTAAATCATGTTGCATCAATATTATTTGGATATTAGAAGTGTAACAAGGCATTCAGTAAGACGTAATATTATATGAATAAATCTTGATAGGATTTATGGGCAGAAGAACTACATTGTAGAAATCTTGAGTTGGTGAAGTAGTATAGCTTTCAATAGTAATATCAGCTAATACTTAATCCAAAAAGAAAACTATTATCAAAAGATATAGATCGAGTCATGTATATATAAATCTGTTCTACAAGGAGAATCAGTAATACTAACTTGGCTTAGCAGCTAACTGGATTAGGAGGATCTGTCTTGTGAAATATCTAAGAAAATAGAATACAGAAAACTAGTAGAGAGCTATAGTAGGAACTGAGGTTATACGAATATCTACAAGAGTCTAAGCTAGGTGAATTTGTAAAATAGGTATAGACCACTCTAGTAGGTATGCTTTGAGGTTAACTGGCTTTGCAATACCTACAATATGCTAGATACAATATATTTCGAGAAGACTTAAGCTGTTTTGAATAAATAGATCCATAATAAGCTAGCTAGCTTAAGCAGTTAAGTATTGCAGTAATGTTAGATTGAATCTATATGGGTTAATGAATATAGTATTTAAATAGGTAACTCACAAGCAGGTTACAGGTATAGCAGCATAGTGTAGAACCAATTAGGTAGTTTAATCGCCTATGCAGCGAACTACTTAAAATAGACAATGACTAAAGTTGTACATGTAGCTTGTTATACACTCTTAATGTAATTACAAACAGTAGGAATTATCAATATATAATCCCATTGACAATTCTAATAAAATTCCTTTGGCAATGTAAGCCACCTTAATAACAAAAAAAAAATAAAAATAAAAAATACTATATATATAATTTTATAATATTAAAACTAATAAAATCTAATTAGCTACAAAAATAGTTTTAAAAAAAATCAAAAAATTTCTTATAAAATTTTAATATAAACTATATTATTTTAATCTGCTTAAAATAATTTGTTTTGATTTTATATTACATCTAAATTATATAATCTACTATAAATATACAAGATATAAAAAGTATATAACATAGTGTGATATATATGTTGTGTATCAGTTGATATCAGATTAAAACCAATATATGTCAAATTAAAACTATTAGGCTAGTATTAAATGATCTGCAATAATCGGCTTTGCTAAATCCTAGTCCTCACTCTAACCCAGTGTTGTCGTTGGACAGCTTTTGGACATAATCTTGGACATCTTGGACATTTTGGACAAAAAAATAAACTGAATTTACTCAAAATTTTATTAAGATAATCTATTTAAACTTCTTAAGCAAAAATGTTTAGAATTAAAAAAAGAATATAATCATATAATTTTTATGTTAATTACTAAAATATTTAAGGCTATGGACAGCTTGGACACTTTGGATACTTGGACGTTTGGACATTGGACATGTCCAAAAAAGCTTTAGACATGCCAAAAAGTACAATACTGGGTATGAGTAAGTTTGCAGTGTAATGCAGCCTGGTATCTTGCATTTAGCAGAAACACAAACTTGGCTTGGTAGCTAACTAAATTAGAAGGATTTACTTTGTGAAACATTAAGAAGTCTAAAACTAGTAAAAAGCTACAACTAGAACTGGGTTTGTACGAATATTAAATAAGAGTATATGTAAGCTAAATTAGGATATAGTATAGCATAGTTAGATATCATAACACTTATCTGTTAGAAGGCATTGAAATAGAACTTATCTAAGTAAGACCTAGGCTCATAACAATAAAGTTTGTAACTAATGTCAGCCTGAGTGCCTCCTAAAGTGAAGTAGCATGAGGTTATAGTTAACTATAAAGAGTAATATTTGTAGTAAGTGAGATAAGACTAGAGAGTTTAAATAGGAAATTTTCTAAGAGATTTCAGATATAGTAGCTAGTATAGAATCTTCAGGTAGACTACTTAAAATAGACAATCTAAAATTATATATGTTTTTTTTTTTTTTTTTTTTTACTTTATACAAATGCCATTAGCTAACTTTTATTAATTTCATAAATTTCAGAAGTGATACATATTGTGAGAGTATAACTAGCCATACATACAATTTTAGATTGTCTATTTTAAGTAGTCTGCCTGAAGGTTCTAAACTAGCTGCTATACCTGAAATCTCTTAGAAGATTCCCTATTTAAACTCTCTGATCCTATCCCACTTACCGCAAGTATTACTCTTTAAAGTTAACCCAAACTTCGTGCTACTTCATATTGGGAGGCACCCAAGCTGACATTAGTCGCAACTTTACTATTATGGGCCCAGATCTTATCCAAATAAGTCCTACTTCAACACCCTCTAACAGATGGGTGTCATGATACCCAACTATGCTACGCTATATCCCTATTCTAGCTTGCATATACCTTTATTTGATGTTTATACAAACCTGGTTTCAGCTATAGCCCTCCACCAGTTTAGACTTCTGTGTCTTTTCGAATATTTTACAAGGAAGATCCTCCCAATCTAGTTAGCTGCCAAGCCAAGTTGGTATTGCCATAATACCCAATGTCACAGACTTACTCACACCCATTCGATCTACATCTTCATACTCAGAAATCTTTGCTAGATTAAGTATTAACTGGCGTGACCGTTGAAATCCATACTACTTCACCTAACTTGGGATTTTTACTATGCAGGTCCTCTGCCTGTAGATCCTATCTCGATTTATTTGTGTAATACAACTCAAACATTCTGTTACACTTCTAATATCCAGACAATATTGGTGCAACATGATTTACAGGGTTACAATCTCAGAAACAGACAGAGTTTACTGTAAGTTAGATACAAGGTTTAAGTAATTATTCAAAGTATCGACAGAAAGATTTTAACCCCAAATCTATTGCATAGCGGTCCAACAACCTATTTATTACACTAGATCACTGAACCTTTACAATCTAGATTTAATTATATCCAGATTTAATTATACGTATTCAAATTTAATTACAATTCAGATTTAATTCCATTAGTAAAATTTAAACCAGAATGAACTAAATAAAGTATCAAAACTTGCTAACATCTAGATATTTTTTCGAATTAATTGACCTTTTAATTTTTTTTCAATAATTTGCAAGTGAATATACTTTGAAAGTATCATATTTTTTTGTATTCAATCAGAGATATGCATTGTCTTATAATATTTATAAATATCATCTATATCGATATTATTATTATATTAAAATAATAACTTAACCAGATTATTCTTTTATTAGGTACCTCAAGAATTATGAAAATAATATTTAATTTCTTAATAAATATTAAGTATTCTCCACAACTTTAAATTTGAATAATTAGAAAATTATTCTAATTATTCTATAATATTAAATTATTTTTATTAAATTTGTATTTTAAAAAAAAAAATATTTTTAAAATGAATTTTCAATACACGTATAATAATGGAATTTAGTGCTTAAATTTCTAGTAATTTAGTAGACTAATATAAGTATTTTAATGCTATAATTTAAAATATATATTAATATATGTATATTTCAAAATTTTAATATAAATAAAAAGAATAGAAGCATACCTCATATTAATAAGAAAAAGGATCATAAAACCTGATAGACAAACCAAACGAACTAGTAAATTCTATTAAATAGTTTATCATGACTGACTATCTCTAAATGTTTTATATGTCATAACTAAGATTCCAATGAAAATCTTAGCATAAATAAATTTTAAATCTATAATTATATTCACGATTCAATTTAAATATCAATTCTATATATATTCTGTTAACCTGACTAAGTTAAAAGGGTATAATAGTTTTAATATATAACAAACTAATTCAAAACTCTATATATGAGCAGAGATATACTTACCAATATATAGCATTAATACTTAGGTTCTTAATAAATATAATGTATATCACAATTTTTTTTTTTTGAATATGGTTTTTAAATAAGCTTGAACTCTAAACTAAAACAAAAGTTTAATAATATCTAAAATTTTTAGTAACTATACTTTAAATGAATATTACCTATGCCTTTTGGAGTTAAAACGTTAATTGTACTTTAATTTTCGTTCTTTATTAATAAATTTTAAATTCTAAAGTAAAATAATTTAAATATAATTAGATGAGAATATTTAATAATATATTTGCATTAATAGAGTTTTGAAATTAACAAATAAGTGTATATTTTGAAATAAGTTAGAGTTTTTGAATAGGCTTTTACTATGTTAAATTATAAATCAGAAAAATAAAATAAGATTTTCTGGTTTTAATTTTGTAACTCTGTTATCTGATTTCAAAAATCTAATATTTTATTCTAGTCTTTATAAATGTGATTATACAATTTAACTATCAAAAACTCTATTCATTTTCTGATAAAAAAATTAAAAAATTACTACTATTTCTTTTTAAGAACAACATCTGATTAACTAAATCTGAAGAAATATGAGTTCTTATTGCTAAAATATGGGCACTAGCATCAGAAAATAAGCTTTTAGATGGAACTGATATTGCAGGAATAGACAAATACTTACAGTCAAGTTGACTAAGTAGTAGAAAGCTTGCATATCTTCCTTCCTATTATATTAAAGGGTCTTGGTCTTTAGGAGCAACTTGTTCTCTTAAATATCTTGTTAATTCATCCTCAGTAGCAGTTAGTAGATTAGGCATTAAATGTGAACTCTATAATTTAGCACTCAAAGAATCACAATCTTCTTCTACAGTAGCTTGTATTCTTTCAGTATTACTTTCATTATTATTAGGTTCTAATGCAAATAATTCTGCATAAATTTGGTCTTCTACATTTTTTCTTTATTAAGAGTAGCAAATGGAAGAAATTTTAATATACGTGGATCTAACAAAGAAGCCTTCAGTCTAATTTCATGAGAAACCTTCTATAATTCATCAAGAGACAAATAAATTGCAGCACGCATTCTTTTCAAAAGCCCATTGTAGTTTGTAGAAGGTAAATATCTTACTATATTTGAATCATCTAATTCTTCTATCCTATTTACACTTTTTTTTTTGTATTTTTTTACACGATTATGACCATGATCTTGACGATATAACTTCGACATATATGCATATACTGCTATTGTTTTCTATTTCCAGCTGATAGTATATCAGCTTCGTCATCATTACTAATACTTGTATCACTATCTACTATTTGATCAGAACTTTCTAATGATGATTTATAGATAAGATCCAACCAAGATTCGACTAATTTACCCTTTTCAGCTACTGGAGTATATTTATTTTTTAATATTCGAATATAAGGGTATACAAGATTCATAGTAGGGTATTTTGCATCACAAATATGTCTTGTTATTTCTTCAACCGGTTTTAAAACCTCTACTATTTCTTTTACTAAGCTTTAGAAAAAAAAATTTTATTAACAAAATTTTACAATAATACAAATTATTATTTATTAAAATTGATAATATTACAGTATTAAAATTTTTAAAATTAGAAAAAACTAAATACTTTTTTTTGTCTGAAGTTAAATATAACTAATTGAGTTTTTCACTCTCTTTTCTTAATGCAGCATCTGACTTATTCTGTAATGATGCAGCTAATATTCGTATTGCTAAATGCAATTCTAGTATTCTTTTCCAGGCCAGATAAGATGAGCTTTACCTTGTCTTACAATTCATTAATACTTCAAGAGGGCTAATTGTTTCATTATCCTAAGATAAATTTTCTGAATTGATAATCATTTGCGATTCTCGTAATCGCTATGCTTGTTTTGAGAGACAAAAAAATACTTGAATACTTTTAAGTCATCGATGAATAGATTTAACTTGCTTTAACCCTTCTTTAACAGACAATTGAAGAGTATGTATAACACAAGGTTGCTGGCTAACTTCTAATAAATAATCTCATCTAATAACCTTATTCCTTTTACAACATTGGCACTATTATCAGTAGTAATTATACATACTTTATTGTCAAGATTCCATTCACAGATTATATTATAAAGTTTATTACTAATGCTTTCACTATTATATAGATAAAGCATATGATGACATGTAAGTAATGCTTCTTGGAACTTAAAATCAGGTGTAAGCTATGTCGTAATAATATCTAAATACCTATATTTGCTCTTCGTAGTCTATAGATCTGTGGTCAAATGAATAATAATAGCAGTTTTAGCTAACAATTCCCGAAGTTAATCTATTTCTGTATAATATGTATTGGAAATATATTCCTTAATGCTAGTTGTATAAAGTATCTAATATTGGGGTTGAAATCCTAAAAGTATTTAGCGAAAAGATAAATATTTTAAAATATGTAAAGGTTGTATATCATACACAATAAATTCTACTACATATTTTGTAAGTTCATATTGTCGTTTAGGTAAAAGGGTATTAATATAATTTGTAATTCAATTAATATGTACATTTAGCTATAAATATAATAAATAAATTATTAGACCTCGTAGATATAAAATCTGAATAGGTTATTTAGTATTAAAATACTTACTTTTTTTTCAGAATTAAGATAATCCTTATAATTTTTGGCTGTAATATTATGCTTGTCATAAAGATGTTGTGCTAAATTTTCTATACTACCATCTGACTTAGTATATGGATAAGGACTCTGTTGAGACTTTTCTAACTCTTTGATACAAATTTTGCAATATCTAATTGTATTGTCTACTTTATCATCTTCAAAAAAAAAATTTGTGTAGCTTGTGTTTGCTCTTAAAGGTTTTGTTGAGGTGGAGGTATTTGATGAGGTTGATACTGTTGTACTGTTAGAGGCTCATCTTTTTTTTCAGCTAACTTTAGAAGTTCCAATAAATTTATAATATCTATTAGAAGCAGTTGTCGAAAGAGTATTATCTGTTATTAGAAGTAGCAGTGATAAAGATCATTCTTGGGACTCTTCTCAGAAAGCTATTTTTTTTTTTGCTGTAACATGATATAACCTAGTTTATATATCATATTACATATTTGGTATTATAGTACTTATTAAATGAAACTTTACATATTATGATCTTTCTTTATAGATTATTAACCAATTGTTATCATATTATTATAAGCTTGTTAAAAACTACTCATACCTTTTAACTACTATTATTTAATTCAAACGTTAATTATTTCTAGAATTTACTATCTTACATATTATGTACACATACAAAATAGCATTCAAGTTAAAACCTGAACCTGCCAAATATTATTCTGGCTGAAATTTTAAAAGTTGCATTTCACATAATGATATTGTTGTACTAATGTTAAAGGATGCTAACACTTATATACAGATTTATATTTAATCTGGATTAAATATAAATCTGAATTTATATATAAATCTGAATTTATATTTAATTCAGATTTATATTTAATTAGGATTAAATATAAATTCAAATTTATATAATAAATTCAGATTTATATTTAATTTGGACTTATATAATAAATTCAGATTTATATTTAATCTGAATATATATTTTCAAAAAATTGAATTCAGATTTAAAATAAATCTGGTTTAATCCGAATATAATTATAAATCTGAATTCAAATATTAACTCTAGTTAGGTATTGATGTAGCTATTTCTGCTTTATACTTAACAATAGTAGTATATTTTCTAGTTAGATTGTTACAAGTTAAAAGAAGTATAATTGTGTTTAGGATGCAATAATTGAATCTAGGTATTATAATAGTATTAATTATGTAGATGCATTGCTTGTTAGTAATTTTTTTCTTTTTAATAAAAGTAAATGCTTAGTTGATTTTTTGAATAATGATTTTATAAATGAATATATAGTTTTTGTAAGTGGTGAAGTAGCATCTCAGAAATCTAAAGATGTCTTTAGGTTTTTTAGGAGTTAGAGTAGTGTTATTAAAGTATAGAAAGGAATTATTTAAGAAATATTTTAGTTATATTATTAGTTATATTTATTAGTATGGTGCTGGAAGTCTATATTCAATAGTTACATAAAGTATTTTTAAGATGTTTCAATTTTTTAAATAGCTATAACTTTTTATCTAAGAAGTTTTAAAAAAATCTGACCAGTAACTTTATAGAGCTATATTTGCTCTACATATGTGCTAAATATCTTTTCAAAATTTTATCACTGTAAAGAGTTGATACGTTTTGAAAATCAAAATTTTATATAAAATTTATAAATTTACATAAAAATTTTGATTTTCAAAATGCATCAACTCTTTACAGTGATAAAATTTTGAAAAGATATTTAGCATATATGTAGGCTGATATAGCTCTATAAAGTTACTAGTCAGATTTTTTTAAAACTTCTTAGATAAAAAGTTATAGCTATTTAAAAAATTGAAATACCTTAAAAATACTTTGTGTAACCATTGAGTATAGACTTCCAGCACCATATATTATTCAAGAATATAATTTTGTAATTAATATTATTTATTTATATCTTAATTTATGATTTAAACATTTTAAGAATTCTATTCGACCAAAAGAATTAATATTATTTGTTGTCGATGAGATAAAATTATTAAAAAAAATTGTATATTTATATGAGAGATATCAATTATGCTAGTACAAATTTAATAGTTAAGAGACAACTACTTAGATCTAAGAATTCACAGTCATTAACATCATCTAAGTTAATCTGTTCTAAGCTTTTAGCTATGCATTGTAATATTAATAAAAAAGTTTCTAAAGCCTCAAATTTAACAAAACCAATTAGTTCAAGTGAGTTAATTCAAATCAACAATTAGATATGTCAGTATTGAATTCCAGATCATCAAAATATATTAAGCTAAAAAGGTAAATGAATTTGTTAGAGATTTACTTAGAATTGATGATTTAGAACTTGTATATTGAAGATAAATCACTAGTAGATCAGAATATATTTAAAGATTATTATAAGAGGTTAGATAAGTCTAATGAAAAAAAAAGTGTTAATAAATTAGTAACAGAAGATAATAAATATGTAAAAGATAATAATTCTGGTTTTGCAAAAGGAGTTTATAGTTATAGAAAAAAAAGCAGAAATAGAAGGTATAGTACATGTAAAGTAAGGAAGATATATAGTACTAAACTTGATGTATATATCATAAGTGATAATAATAGTAATGAGAAGTAAATATATTGCATATAGTTATTTTGATATTTGTATTAAATTTATATAATTTTGATTAACATTTTAAATAAGTTTTCAGGTTCTTTTTTTTTTTTTTTTTTTTTTTATACTTATTATTATGAAATTATGTTTTTTTCATTTCTATTATGAAATTGTTAATGTATTTGATATTTTTTTTATTTTATAAATTGTTACTTAGCTTTTTTACTTATTGTTATGAAATTATCTGTTCAAATTTTTCTTTTTATAATAAAGATTTGAGATTAGGTAAATTTTTGAAATTCGAAAAAGCACTTAATCTGTAGATCTTTTGTACTAAATTTCTCCAAAAAATTTTTTCAATAAAACCAAATTTTCTCTAAATTTTATTAATTAAATTAAGCAAGTACTCTTAAGTAAACTTGCTCTACACATAGTTTTACACTCTAGCAGCCTAGTTTTATAACTCTTGCTTTTTTCTAAGCAGAGTTATACTTAAAAAACTAAAGGCAGTAAAATTTCAAATTTCTTCAAAAACTAGCTTCTAAATCTCCTTTGTGCTCTTAAGTAAAGATGTTGGCTAGCCTCTTCCGGTCATAACAAGCTCTAAATCATCTTTCTAGCACAAATATTGAACTCTCTAGAGTTCTAATCAGCCTTAAAAATGTCTATAAGTTTTCCTTTTAGCCAAAAAAAAAAAATTTTTTTCTGTTGTACAATCCCTTATCAAATTAGTATAAAATTATAACCATTATATAAATTACACCTTGTCAAATTTGCTCTTATTAAATTAGCACAAAACTTATCTTGTATAAAAGATTTATAATCTGATTACAAATCTTTTTTTCTATTTTTAATTTTTATAAATATATATTCTATTATTATCAAATTCTAATTTTATTTTTAGCTATTTTAAGCTTTACTATTTATAGTCATGTTATATATATTATGCTGTGTACTACATCACTCATACCAGCTACACTAGCTATACTTGTTATACAAATTACAAGTATAGTACTACTTGAGTAACATTATATAAACAAAATTTTAGCATACTACAAAGCTCACTATTATCTTTTCAATCTTATGCTACTCTAACAATACTATCTCTTATCACTGAAGAGCCTAATTCTTATAATATTGACTACTATTATAGAAAATACAAAGATTACTATAGTATTAGTATAACTAAAGCAAAGTCTGAAACTTTACATGTTTTATCTATAAACATCAATTCTGTAGCATGTGATCCTAGCTCAACAAAAAAGCATCACTATTTCAAAGTCCCTACTCAACCACAATTAGTTACATGCTTATACAGTAAATATCATACCAACTTTACCTCTCAATTTTATAAAATTTCTTCTCAGACAATTCTAGGTATAGTACTTATGGAAATATCTCTAACTATCTCATCTAAACATTTTAATTGAATTACTGATGAACTTCAAACTTCTCCTCTCCCAAAACAACAACAACAACAACCTTTAGTTAATTCTACAATTCTCTTTTCAAACTTTAATACCAATCCAACTTCTTTTGCAATTACTCTACATTCTCAACACCACTACACATATTTATGTTGCAAACAAAAAACTATTTCTTGTGTTTATCTTGCTGATACTAAACATGCATTTGACTATACTCAGTGCATAATCTTTAAAAACTTTTTACAACATCATAGCTGTATTCCTAAACTTTGAGATATCAAACTTTTTTTTAAACCTCAAACTGCTCTATTAACACTCAAACAAAAATCAGCTCTCATTGTTATGAAAATAGCTAAAATGACTTCTAAAGAGAAAATTTCTCTCTTTAAAACAATTTTTCTAAAGCCTTCTACTTCAAAAAACAACTTCGACTCATCTAAGAATAATACTTCTGAAACTACTATTGAAGAAGAAAATGAAAAATAGCTTAATAATCAAATGGAAACAGATGAAACAATACCAAAACAACAACTAAAATCTACTAAACTATTTTAAACCTATGACTAGATTGCAAATTCTCTAATTACAGAAAACATTGAAGCCAATACTAAACTTCAAACAATACTTTTTTTTGATCTATTTAATTTTCTTAAAAATTACTTACATGATTTCTATTCTGAAAAAGAAACCAAAGCTGCAACTCAAACCCAAAAAGCTTCTAAGCAACTTTTAAGCAACTTATTCACACAATAGCTGGTGTCCGTTTAAAATTTTTAACTGATTTTATCTTCAAAAACAACCCAAATACCAATTCTAATACAACTATTCTATTTATTATTCTTGAAAATACTTTAAGAAAATTGATCTATAAATTTAATACTATTCTATTCACCAAATTGAATTATAGTAAAATTTTTGCTTCAGAATTAATAATCCCTCTTTACAAAACAAAAAATTGAATGCAATTTTGCATTAATTTAGCTCGTATTCATCTTTATTTATCTGAAAATTATTATTCAATTGACTATAAAAAATTTGCAAAAGATTTTAACTTTATTCCTAAATGCTTTATAATTAATTCTGCAACAGTATCTATAGACAAAGAAGGAAAATATCTAACTATCAAATCTGACAAGAAATTCAATATCCAACTTCTTTTCAACTTACTCAAATTTTTCTTTCTTCAAGATTATAATATACTATCTCTTAAAAACTCTTTGAACATTTTAATGAATGGTTTAAAAATTTTTTTCCTATCTATAACTGTCAATTCTCTAAGCCTTTGAATCAACAAAAAGTTTACAATGCCTTAAAAGATTGAATAAGATAACAATTCATTATTCAACTCAAAAAACTTCTTCTAACTACAACTGACTTTCAAGAACTACTTAATAGCTCTGAAAGATGAACTAAAAGTATTTGCCATACAAACTTTTATATACTTACTTATAAATTTAAGGATTGTCTTTATAATTATAAAAACAAACATGATTTTTCTACTCTTTTTAAACTAATTCTTTAATGTTCTCATCAGAAATTTTCAAAAAAGGATAGTAAAATTTGGAAAGCACCTACAGTTAATTCCTTAAGTTT